TGTGGAAGGAGTTTTAACTGATCGTAGCCATTTGTGGTCGGGCGTTGTCTTGTTAGCACGTTCCATCATCCGTGCCATGTAGGGCATCACCGTGACGAAAGATTTCGTCCCTTTACCGTCGTCCTTTGAGGTTGCTTTGAAAAGTAACCAAATGTGTACGATAAAGAGCAGAGATTCCACCCCATACCACCACACTTCAGCCACCGATTCGGGCTTCTTGGGGGACGTTAGATTTTAGAAATCTCTATCCTCTTCTTTTAAACATTTTTTCTCTTCCACCAATACGACGGATTAAAAACATTAACCATAGCCTAAAAGAACACTTTACCAACGTCTTTAGTTTCATCGCCAATGTTGTGCCAAAATTTGGCTATTTGTTCGATTAAACAGGGTTAGAATGGCTCCACGCAAAGGGTGGTAATCACGATCTTATAAATATCTAATAATGGTGTTTTAAGATTGTCCGAAATACCTGACAGTCTATGCACTTAGTTGAAACGGGTTTCGTACCTGGGTGTTGACAATAATCCAATTCTAACGTCGAGTTGTCGCCCTTGGTTGGCCTCGCCTGGACTTGTCTTGGACAGTTCTAGTGGTGTTAAAACGTTTGTTCAATCTTTAGATGTTTCTTCTATACACATTTATGTGTCTTGCAACAACAGAAAGCACAATTAAAGAATGTATCATACACACAGCCCCTTTATTTTCTGGATTCATCAGTTCTTTTTATTCTGAAAAACAGGTGAAAAAAGTACCCAACCGATAAAATGTACGGAATTTCATAGTGTGTAAGGTGTGTTTACACATTGTCTACGTGAGTGTAGGAAGCATTGATTTCAACGTAGACCTAGAGAAATCTATACCAACACTTTGTCCACGCACTACTTCCGGTTTATCATTTCTTTCGTCTGCTCTCGCACAAGCAGTCTCCTAAGTCACACAAGTCGTAATTTTAATTTTTTACTGCAATTCTTACACTGTACCGAAAATTATCGTAATATAATGGGTTTTACAGAACTTTTGAAACTCAGTATATGATGAAAATCGGTGATGGCTGAGGTAAATTAATAAATTATATTATTTCTGTGGGGCAAACTGTTCAGCGGCAATTTATTTCTTTATATACGCTTCCTCCTCACTGTTCCAGTGTCGTATGTAGTGTTAGTAAGTGTCTCTTTTTCTCTGTTGAGCACAGTAGCCACCTTCAGCATGGTTAATTTTCAGTTGTGTCATTTGCTTGTGGCCATTAAGATTTCAAGTGAGCAGGAAAATGTTTGGTGACAAGCACCTGAAGTGTTGCCAAACTGTGAATGATGAAAACTTTCACAGCAGCGTGTTGTTCTAGATGTGTGTGTGTGTGTGTGTGTGTGTGTGTGTGTGTGTGTGTGTGTGTGTGTGTGTGTGTGTGTGTGTGTGTATGTGTGTATGTGTGTTGGGTCGTTGAGAGGGGGAGTATTCAGTCAATGCCTTAGTCACTGTCGGTTTTGGTTTTCCTCTATTCTTTTATTTTTGGTCATGCCTAGTTGTAAGAACCAACGTACATTACGATTATGTTTTACAACCTGGGTCAGTAATTTTACAGGCACATAAGTTGTACACTATTCAAACCTAGTTGTGATCTGAAAAGTTGGAGAGACCCTTCTCTCTTTGCCATCCTTTTTTTAAAAATGACTTGTTATGTAGGTCGTTACACTCTCTGTTGTGGTTGTAATCTATTTATCTGTGTGAATGCCTAATTGTAACAACAAACAGATAATTGCGTTTTGCAATCAAGGTGTGCAATTTTAGAAGCACTTTTGAACTTACTAAACACTATCCAAGCCTAGTTGCAATCTGAGAAGCTTGAATATGCCTTATTTTTTTTGGTAATCCTAATTTCTTTAAAAACGTATTATGTCCGTCGTTACATTGCCAGTCTTTATTATAATCTATTCATTTTTGTGTATGCCTACGTTTGTACTTTCTAAATGCAAGACGAGTCTACTTGTGATCTGAGAAGCTGAAAACAACCTTATTTTTTTGTCACCCTAATTTCTTTAGTAAATTGTTATGTTGGTTGTTACACTCTTCTCTCTTCTCTTTTCTTCTATCCTGTGGTTGGGGCAACCGTGGGGGCACCACTGCATTTGAAAACCAGCTCTCGCCATCTATTTTTACACTTTTAGTTGTAGTTAAAATTCGTCATATTTTTTGTGTATGAATAGTTAAAACAGATATAAATTGTGTTTTACAACCTGGGTGTCTAATTTCACGAACACATAATTTGTAACGACTAGACTCTAAGCAAGTCCGGTTGTGATCTAAGCAGCTGGGCGTAGTCAGACAACAGGTTGTTCCCAGCTTCTCAGATTACAATAACTGGGCTTGGATAGAGTTTAGTCAGGGCAAAGGTGTTCGTAAACTTGCATACCCATTTCCTGTGTTTACTCCTTTTCTCCGACCAGCCGCTTCCATTGGTTTGCAGTCGTAACAACTGTGTTGATAAGCTGTTGGTTGCGGGTCGACATCATAATAATTAGTTTTCGGAAGCTGCCGAAATTGCTTTCATCGGGCATTCGTTCATTAAATGAAGAACTATCAAAATAGGCACATTCGTTTTGGTTTAATAACTAATTTAGGGATGAAAATCTTATTTTTCGATTATGAACGTAAAGAGGGCCTCGACATAGTGGGTTTATCCCTCACTCAATAAGTTAAGAGTAAACTTCTACAATCTGTTGCTTGTTACAACTAGATATTTACAAAAATGAAGAGATTGTGATTTTTTAAAAAACTAGAGTGAAACCATCGACATTATATAACACATTCCTGGTGAAATTAGAACGACAAAGATATTATAACGCTGTTTCCAGCTCTTCGGATCATAACTAGAATTGGATAGAGTTTAGTCAGTACAAAGGTGCTTATGAAATTGCACACCCCGATTGTAAAAACTATCTGTTTTAGTTATAGTAAAAGTTGTTGCAACTAGACAAACCCAAAAATTTGACTACATGTACTTCTCAACAATTCTGCTAGAGTCGTTCTTCAAAATGTTGCCGATACAAAAGTGTAACTTCACGAGACTGGTCGCCCCCTCTGGCAGACCTACTGAAACTTTCAGGAGCACCTGTAGTTATAAATAACTTTCATTAACCGATTGAAATAATACGTGGCTGCTTTTGGTAAAGGACAGTGGTTATTCAATGCTGTCACGTTGACACTTTGAAAAAAAAAATTGCGTTTGCATTAACTGTATTTGTTATTCAGTAATCGTGATAATAAATATTACTATTTGATGTTAAACTTAATTCATTTCTGAACTTTGTAACGGCATAATTCTTTTCTGCCTGCGTTTTAAGTTTTGGGCTATTTTAAGTGAATTTTTTTAAAGATGCAAAAATGGAGTCATTTCCCTGTGCATGGTCCCGAAGCGGAGTGTCGTTGTCGAACCTGTGATACTCCGTGGTCAAGCAACACCTTTAATCTGCGGCACTTATATAACTTTTTGTGTTGCATTTGCTGTAAAACTCCTACTGAAACTCAAAAAACCCGCAAGGACTTCAACCTATGATCCAATCTGTATTGACAGCATTAGTCATGGAATACAAATTCTGACATGATGTAGGATTACTCCAAAAAAGAGGACCAAACATTTAATTAAGTGATTTAGGAATTTTTAATAACCTTCAGATTATAAGAGGTGATTTAGATAATATGAAAAAAAAAT